GTATAATAAGCAAAATAAAATATGTGACAATCTAGCGTAGTACTGATGTGGGACAAGATGACCATCTTCGTTGTGAAATGGAAATACGTGTCAGTTTAACGCAAAGGGTGGACGACAGGCGTTTACGAACGAAACCAGCCAACAGTGAGGCTGATGTCCCCCGCCGAAATCCCAAAATAAATAGATGACACATATTAATTAATCGCACATTTATTTGTTTTCAAAAGTATCAAGCAATCAAACTGATTATCAACTATACACTAAGATAGAATCAAAGTTATCTTGTTCCAAAGCATCAATCAATGAAATTGCTTACCTCTGTTTAGCTTTAGCTCGAAATGTTAATCATTGAACTCGGTCAAGACATTTACCCAATGAACATCTACATCATCAAGTCTAACCATTCTACCTCAATTAAAAGCAGAGTTGTTATGTTCCAAAGTCTTGACCAATCAAATTGCTTATTGCTCCTTAGCCTAAGCAGAAAATTTTCATCATCGAACTTAGTCAAGGTAATGATATAATGAATCTATACTTGTGATATAATAAATTTATACTTGGAGTTTCGTCTCTCTCACTCAATTATAACCAAAGTTATCGTGCCCCAAAGCATCAACCAAATTATCTCTGCTTATCCTAAGCAGAAAATGCTCACCGTCTAACTCCATCAAGGCATTGACCTAACAAAGACCTACACCAAGTTTGAACGTTCTAGCTCAATTAGAATGAGAGTTATTGTGTTCCAAAGACTCGACCAATCAAATTGCTTATCGCTCTGCTTACCCTGAGCAGAACATGCTCATTATCAAACTTAGTCAAGGTATTAATGTAATGAAATTATACACTAAGTTTCATCACTCTCGCTTAATTAGAACTAAAGTTATCGTGTGCCAAAGCTTCAACCAATCAAATTACTTATCTCTGCTTATCCTGAGCAGAAAATGCTCACCTTCGAACTCCAAGGCATTGACCTAACAAACACTTACACCAAGTTTGAACGTTCTAGCTTAATTAGAATGATAGTTATTGTGTTCTAAAGTCTCGACCAATCAAATTGCTTATCGCTCTGCTTACCCTGAGCAGAACATGCTCATTATCGAACTTAGTCAAGGTAGATGTAATGAAACGGTATACCAAGTTTCATCACTCACTTAATTAGAACTATAGTTATCGTGTCCCAAAGCATCAACCAATCAAATTGCTTATCTCTGCTTACCCAAAGAAGAAAATGCTCATTTTCGAATTCCATCAAGGTATTGACCTAATAAACACTTACACCAAGTTTGAACATTCTAGCTCAATTAGAAAAAAGAGTTATTGTGTCCCAAAAAGTGTGACGGACAGATAGACGGACGGACGGACTGACGGACGAACCCATTTTAATAGCCCCCTGCTTTTTTCGAAAGGCGGGGAACAACAATGTGATTCTAAAACTAAGAATAGGTGTTGTGAAACTAGAAATGTTCTAGTTTGATTACATATATACTGAGCGCCATGGAAAACGCATCACTTAGTTTTTCGTATAACAAAATGATCCTGTAACCATATCTTATTTATTGTGCTTCTTATTGTGAACAATATTCAAATGGGAACACATCAATAACAACACATTTGTACACTTATGGATGTTTAATCTGTAATCAAGGGTACAAAGTCAGAGGGGTCAAAACCAAAAGTACGACACAGATGTCAGTAGCGCGTGTGTCCTCCACGGGCCATCATCATGGTAGGCTACAGCATTAACGCGACCCCTGCAAATGTGTAGGGCGGTCCGGTGATGAAATGTGAAGCCTCCCCACACCATTACACTTCCCCCACCCCATCGATTCGTTTCGAAGACGCAGCAGCCTGCAAGACGTTCCCCAAGACGTCTCCACACACGTTGACGGTCATCAGCGTTATAAAGATGAAAGCGACTCTCGTCACTCAAGAGCACACTTTGCCAGTCTACTCTTCTCCATGTCTGGTGTCCTTGAGCACATATCAAACGCCGCTGACGGTGTTGGCACTTACTGGTCCTTGTCTTCCGACGACTGCTGCACCTGTTCGAGTCGCTGGGTGGAATCTGTCACGCAGATGAGTGACCCGGATGTAGCGGTCTTGAGCCTGGGTTGTATCGCGTTGTGAACCAGGACGTGAAGGCCACGTGTTGATCAAGTAACTCGAACACGTTCCACCAACCTTACAATAGTGGACTGATGACAATTGAAGTGTCTGGCAATAGCACGGGTAGACATGCCAGCCCTGGACATTCCCATGGCTTCATTCCGTTGATTTTCAGTTAGTCTCGGCATCTTTAGCTCGATTTCTTCACACGTCCAACAACAAATTACGACAGATTGACGTTTCACAGTTCATGTACTGCACATTAAGTTGAAAACATGCTTTTATTTTTAAAGGGCTCACACACAATGCTGCACGTGAATATTGGGGTTTTCATGTGCATCTCGTGCAATTTTTTTTTTTTTTTTTGCACACGGGCCGATATTTTTTGCGTTTAAGAGCATTGTGTGAAACAATAGTTCATAGTATTGCATAATATTATACATACAAAACCACCTAGTAAGAAAATATTTGGGAAAAAAAAGTGATTCGTTTTCCATGGCGCTCAGTATAATTATCCCAATAGTAGAAACTAGATTTGGCGTCTTACCTTCAAACAACAAATCGATCGACGGCAATCATGCTGAAGAAGACACATCTTTCAATATCTTCTTCAGACAGCAGTACTATCAAGCAATGCCAAAAAATTATAATATATTATGTACAATTTGAAATGATTGATGCCTTTATAATTACACATTACACAATAGTTGTAATAAATCTGATTAAACCACTAAAGCTGTTTTTATTTAAATTCGTATTGAAAAAAAATATATCTACCTAACTCAGATGCCTTTATAATTACACATTACACAATAGTTGTAATAAATCTGATTAAACCACTAAAGCTGTTTTTATTTAAATTCGTATTGAAAAAAATATATCTACCTAACTTAGAAGACGAGGTGGTCTATTGGTTTAAGCAATTGGTGCACAATCCGTAAGAAAAGTCATATCTGCTTGTAAAATGGGGTTTCTTGTGATGTCTGTCACACAATAAAAGGGCTATTGTTAGTGTCACGAAGAAATACTGCCCTGTATTACCTTCAGCCTGTCTAGTCAATCAAACAAACACGATTCATAACAATGATTGAACTGTCGTGTTCTACTGTAGACATTTTAAATTTAGTGTAAATTTAGGAGAAAAAAAATTAAATAAACTATCTGGCACAATATTTAGACAAGATTGAGAGATACGTCGTTATTACCTACGATAGCATCTGTTTTTTGGGGTTTTTGGGGGTTGTTTTTTTTTTTTTGGGGGGGGGGGGGGTAACAATAATGCCCGATTTTGAAATGACGGACGTCGTCTTGTCATTATACTGCTAAATGGTTACCGTTTTGATTTTACCTTTATGTTTATTTCCACAAATGAGACCTATCTCTCTCTCTCTCTCTCTGCTCGCTACTACACAGATTGCTCCTAGTGCGAATGTGACTAGCCGTCGTATTAAAAACGTAGAAAAGCTAGGTTCTATTGTATAAGTGTATTTCTTGTATTCTTGTATAGTGGTTGAATAAATGAAAACAGGAATCTTGTTGATGGTTAATATTTCTATATTAAGGTGAAAATGGGTATATTTTGTACGTTATCAGTGTGCATTGAATTTCGAGACTGAATATTTGGAAAAGTATACATCCCATCTACTCAGAATCTTTTGTAAATTGATAAAAGACTACTGATATTAACTATGCCAATTTTGGAGGTTGCATATACAATATTGACTTTGCCAGAGGCTGTGGAAAGCTTGAAATAAGTGAATAGTTCATTTGTTCCACCTGGTGGCACGAACTGTGTGAACTGCACATTGCGTGTGATGCTAAATTCGTAATCTACACTAAAAGTTGTTTTCGATTACAAAGTGGGAGAGTTCCACTCATATTAGAAATGTGAGTTTAAAGCAACCGAAAACCTGAAAAAAATTACTGAACTGTTTCAGTACCCTAATTCCAAATGGCCATATCTGAGCGAGTTTTCGACCTAGAGAGATATAATTTTGGATTTGTTAGCTTAAGGCCCTATACTATAACATATTTTTCTAGAGAGGGTCATGTTCCCAACTTTCCGAAATTTGGTCCACTTGACATGGAATGACCCCGGTACTCTATCATGAAGTAATATCTGCATTTTAAACATTGTTCAATTTCGTTCAACAAAGATATTAATAGAAAAGTTTTATACGCCACATTTCCAAGTAAACTTGAGTATTACGCTCGTAAGTGGTCGCCCCTGCCCATCGGTCCATCAATAATTGGCTTCAGAACGCGATAACGGCTGAAGTTTTTAGCGGATTTTATTCTTCTTTAATCTGGTGTGGAACAAACATGTCACTGGAAGGCGAATCTTATCGATTTTCAGCGACATGCCGCCTCTTCCGAAATCATTATGAATGTGATGATGGGTTTATTTTTCAAATTTGGCGTGAAACCATAGGACTACCAGAGGATCCTTTCGGATCATTCTAGGACCTTTCCGGAAAAGAATATAAACACACAGTCTAATCTAATTTGGTCAAGATTCAAGTTTTCTTTTCGGATAAGTTGCTGTCTATGGCTATTCTTTTCTCCAAGATATATTTGTGTCGTGAGTACGTATTTCCACGCTTTGTGGGGCTATCCGTTTTTATATTGAAAATATGTGAACGTGTATATTTTTTAAATAATTTTATGTCCTATATTTCTTCAATTTTCTTGTCTTCAGGATCTTAAAATCTTCTGCAATCGCTCTCATTTTCAGCTGGTAGATATCAATAAAATACTCCCCAAATATCTGATTATCACATTGCTTTACTGTCAAGCAAGGAATACCACAGTGATAAACCCATCTTGATAACCTAAAAGTTGTCATCTTTGTCTTATACATACCCTAAGTCTTGTCTTACCATATCCACACTTACCCGTAGACAAACTTGTTTGGTTTGTTGTTGCAGTGGAATTTAGTTGGTTTGGTTTCTATTGAATTAAGTATTGCACCACTTGCCTTTCATACTGAATAAAAATCATGTAAGATTTATATTTATTCATATTGATCAAAATATACAGATGGGTATTTTTCTATTCATTCTGATGCTAATCCAAAACAACAAATGTCATTGATTGTTGTTTTGGATTAAACGAACTGCTGTTTAGTTTAAATACTGGAACAAGATAACGATGTTTAAGAGTGGCAGTGAGTGACCTCTGTGTGCAGTTTCATTAAATTAATACCTTGACGATCCTCGATAATCAGCATTTTCAGCTCGATTATAGTAGAGAGACAATGTGATTTGGCGCCCGATTCTTTGTAAGACAGAAGGGGGTGGGGGGGGCATTATTTGACGATACCGATACTATTACAGAAGTAACATGAGAGAGAGAGAGAGAGAGAGAGAGAGAGAGAGAAATGGGGTTTAACATCCACTCGACACAAACTAGGTCATTTCGGGACTAACATGGTTTAATTTTATTTCAATAATTCGCTTGCGCATAGTGGTCTTTAGCAGTGGGAGGAAACCGGAGGACCCGGAGAAAACCAACGAGGTTGGACAGGCGACCCTCCTCCTTGTCACATACAACCGGAATTTGAAACCACACCAGTCGACTCAATGATACAGCGCGCGCACGCTAATCATTCAGCCATCCAACCCCCCGAAGTAACATGAAAATATGTGGGGTTGTTCAAATAAACATAGTTTACGAATACTTTTTGGGAGGATTCACGCACCAGTACACGATGTTGCTATTCATAAATTATAGATTTTAATATTCAATATTTATGGAATTGGCATAAATCCATTCCAGATTCTCCTTTTAAACCAAGAAATGTTTCGAGCATCTTCTGAAAATTACAAATGCACCTTCCTTGCTTAAATAATCAGTGATAAAACGGGTCGAGGTCAGTTTTTCAGTTCCATCTCTTTATACACTAAACAAAGCAAGGTTAGACGACTTACCTTGCTTACGCAGGAGAATGGTCTTACTGTCAGTGTCTCTCAGTAGCGTCACTTTCAAGTCGCGCAGAGGGCACATGCCCTACTTGAATTCCGTAGATACGCCACTGGTTGATGCCAATAATCAAATTGTACCCTCGCTGGAAAGCTGTGTTTAAGTCAAGGTTTTGAAGTACTTGGTAGTGAAACTATACACTAAGTTTCATCACCCTCAGTTATAATCAGGTATCTTGACCAATAAAATTGCTTAGCTTTAGACATTCACCGAATTAACATCTAAACCAAGTTTAAACATTCTACAGCGAAAGTGGTACTACCTTGGCTCTTTAACGTCTACTTCCACACAAGTGAAATGAAATGAAATGGGGTTTAACACCCTACTGTTCTGCTCCTAACTGGGAAATTTTGCCCGGACAGCTGCACTACGGCCATATCGAATTCCAACTGTCAAGGGACCTTTTATGTGCACGCCAATGTGTACACGGGACCTCCGTCCTGCATCACTGACAAGGGGGGGGGGGGCACGCCGGAAAATCTGGATGAACTTTCTCGGCCAATGCAGGGATCGAACATCCGACCTTCAGGCTAGCGAGCCAGTGTCTTGCCCACTTGGCCACCGTGACCCCCTTCCACATAAGTGACATCACAGACAGGACCTAGGACAGCCGAAGCTTAATCCTGTATTTTTAGAATAGGATTTTGCAATCTTCCATTTGTGGCCTTTGGCCATGGATTGGTTTACTGGGAAGTTCTGCCCTTTATTCAATAAAAAAACATGTCGTTTGGTGGTGGATCAATAGAGGTCTACACCAATTAAAAGGAGGATAGCTATGTTCCGAAGTCTTGACCAATCAAATTGCTTATCGCTACTTAGCCTAAGTAGAACATTCTCATCATCGAACAACCTCGTTTACATTACAAATTTTAAGCGTGCCAGGCACGGCACGGTTACTTTTTTGTAAACCGGTCAAACATAAACGTGCAGTTAAATTTTTCGTAGTGTCAACGCTATCCGATCTGAGAACGGTTCTCAGTACGGATTACTATGTATGCGCCAAATGAACCTTCACCATTTTCACCCGAACTTTGACAGTTCTGTCATCAGTTCTGACAAAATGGCTGCCCAAACTAAATCAACCGCCATAATTGTTTTCATCTGGGTAATTTGCATGGGGGCTGAAATTAGCTTTTCTGTGAAGAGTTCCACGTTTGGCGTGCCTGGCACGGTTCCGGGACTGGTTATCTTAGAGTAATGTAAACGGGTCAATTTTTTGAAATTTATCGCGGCCTACTAGTGCCGAGAACGGCACGCTTATCGCAGCCAGGTGTAAACGGGGCTTTAGTCAAAGTATTGATATAATGAATCTGTACGCGAAGTTTCGCCACTCTCACTCAATTAGAATCTGTGTTTATTAAGTTCCAAAGTCTCAGCCAATCAAATTGCCTATCTCTGCTTAACCTTCCCGGAAAATGCACATGATCAAACGCTGTCAAGGCATTCACCCATTGAACACCTACACTAAGTTAAAACATTCTAACTCAATTAGAAGGTAAGCTGTTGTGTTCCAAAGTCTCGACCAATCAGATTGAAATACCTACTTAACATAAGCAGAAAATACTCATCACCGATGCAATTAGAATTAGTCCGGTCGCCAAACCCGATTTTTAGAGTGAACCTGGAAATTATATACAAAGTTTTTTTTATGATTGATTTTAGTAGCCTAGGGTGTCCTCTTTCAGAATATGCCGGGTGAACCTCGGGCACCCTTAAGCGTTTTGAGAAATTCGAGATGGCGTCCAAGACGGCCGCCACATCAAATACTCCCCTATAGCTCCCATAGTATTTATTCTAGGATGATAATTTTGGTGTCTAACCATATGTTTTTGGGGTCAAGGAATACACTGAAATCATTTATTATGTTGTGGGGTGATTAGATGATAGTAAAATCAAACGTGCCAGACAATATGACGCTTTAACTCGTTAGCGGCGGTTGGGGGCGATTATTTCACCAAACCAAACTAAATCTAGAGACAAACTATATATTTCTGGACATAGGAGTGTATGAGTGATAGGATAACACCACATACATCCCTATCAGGGGCTCTGGGGCCACATGGGCCAGTCCTGAAAATGGAGACACAAGCTGATTGTTGAACATTTATAAAAACAAATTCTACCCGCAAAACAGGAACATAACTTCCACAAAACTAGGTAATATCCAGTTTAATACTTTAGTCGTGTTTCTGGCTGCAACCTGAGACAGCACAAGCACAAAATATTGTATATTCTAAGCCCTCCCTAGTGCAGCTACAAGCACACGTACTACATGAGCTGTCACTATTGCATCCACATCTGATGAGCCACATGACAGACTCCGGACCAAGTTTACCGGTTGTGATGTTTTCAATTTAGTGTTCTTCTCCCAGCAATACAGTTGCGGATCAAGTTCCGGCGGATTCCGATCTTCCAGTGAACGCCACTCAATAGCTTAGCGATGTCATATCTTTATGTTCACTGCAAATGCATCATTCGTTGGAGCTAGACTACATGGTTTATCTGGGGATGATGTCGATACATTTCCAGTTTTGGATGCCTGATACCTTCCAGCGTGTTAAGTCATCGATTTGCAAGAGCTCGGTCCAAAACGTACAGTGGAATCGCCAATCCAGGAAAGAACAACCGTTGACATTGGTCAAACTACGGAGAAACACATGTCAATTATGATTGAAATCCTGCCAGTTCATTCCCTTACTGGATGTGACACGGTTACATGCGGTTACGTCGTGTGGAAATCAACAGTTTTGAAAGTGGCTAGAGCTTCATTGTATTCTCTCTCACTCCACTTGTCGGAGTAATAGACACTCCAATAGAATCATTGATCACACAGTTACACAGGCCACTGTATTTATGTCAGTTTGTTATTGACAGAGTTCTAAAAATCTATGTCTGAAACACGCTGGAGGGTGTGGACATCTAAAACAGGAAATGTGTTGTCATTATTCTCCACCCAAACCATGTAATCTTGCTCAACGAATGATACATTTGCAGAGAACGTAAAAAGAGCTCATCACCAAGCTATTGTGTGGCGTTCCCTGGAAGATCGGAATCCACCGGAACTTGATCTGGAACAGTATTGCTGGGTGAAAGATACCAAATTGAAAACATTACAACCAGTAAACTTGGTCCGGAGTTTGCCATGTGGCTCATCAGGTGTGGATGCAATAGTGACAGCTCATGTAGTACGTGTGCTTGTAGCTGCACTAGGGATGGCTTAGAATATACAATATTTTGCGCTTATACTGTCACAGGTTACTGTCACAGGTTGCAGCCAGAAACACGACTAAAGTATTAAACTGGATATTACCTAGTTTTGTGGAAGTTATGTTCCTGTTTTGCGGGTAGAATTTGTTTTTATAAATGTTCAACAATCAGCTTGTGTCTCCATTTTCAGGACCGGTCCATGTGGCCCCAGAGCCCCTGGTAGGGATGTATGTGGTGTTATCCTATCACTCATACGCTCCTATGTCCAGAAATATATAGTTTGTCTCTAGATTTAGTTTGGTTCGGTGAAATAATCGCCCCCAACCGCCGCTAACGAGTTAAAGGGTCATATTGTCTGGCACGTTTGATTTTACTATCATCTAATCACCCCACAACATAATAAATGATTTCAGTGTATTCCTTGACCCCAGAAACATGCGGATAGACACCAAAATTATCATCCTAGAATAAATACTACGGGAGCTATAGGGGATTATTTGATGTGGCGGACGTCTTGGACGCCATCTTGAATTTCTCAAAACGCTCAAGGGTGACCGAGGTTCACCCGGCAGATTCTGAACGAGGACACACTAGGCTACTAAAATCAATCATAAAAAAAACTTTGTATACAATTTCCAGGCTCAGCCATAGGTCTGCAGGACTAAATTAAATTTATCGAGCTCCAAAGTAACGGCCAATCAAGTTCTTGTCGCTCTGCTAACCTGAGGTGAAAATGCCCATTACCGAACTTAGTCAAGGTATTGATATACACCAAGTTTCATCACTCTCGCATAATT